CTGAGTACAGTCCTAACCTCAGATGGTGACAAAGCGGGAGCTCGCAGGCGTTTTGCAAACCGTCCCGATTGCAGCAGGGTTGGATGGCCTGGCCGGCGGTGACAGTGCTAGGTGTGGGGGCAGTGGGTTGGACAGTTTGAGGCTGGGTTGGGGGCAAAGCTTGGCTTGAGGGGCGTGGGGAATGGACCCAATCTATGTATGGCTTGCCTCTACCTACCCCAGATCTCTATTTATAAAAGAGGGTCTCTCCTCATTAGGAAGCCTTCCTTTCCCCGAGTCCTAGGGTACTTCTGCTGCTCCCTGAAGCCAGAACTGGTGGCCAGTTGCAAGCATTTTCCTCTGAAAATACCCGCCATCTCTCCATGGGTTAGCCCTGGGGAAGTTTTTATGTGCCACTGAAGTTTTTTCTGAGGCCAGGCCAGGCCTGCTTATAGGAGCAGCTGAGAGTGGCCACCAGGAGTCCCGCCCAGGTGGACCATTCCTACTTTGGAGCAGCCCAGGCTGAGTACTGAGGGGAGAGAGAGGTCTGCCTACTGGGGGCTGGCGAGGGTGAGGGGAAGTGACTGGCCTGTGGAAAAGGAGATGCACAGGCCCTCAGCCAGCCCTGGCCCTTTTTGCCTCAGCATCTCCTCTGAAGCCCCCTCCATCCCATAATCCCCTCACTGGCTTGGGACAGGGTAGGGGGTGGAGATGAAGAGGCCCCTTTCTACCTCCACAACCCCAACCGGGATCTTGCAACACTGGGATGGGGGCCCTGGGGGCCCAGGCGTGTGGCAATCCATGGGGGATGGGGTGGGGTGGGGAGGTGTGCACGGAGCAGGGGGAGAGGCTTTCACAAGCAGCCTCCACCGACTGACCTTGGCAGGCTCACCTTGGGCAGCTTCCCCCTCTCAGAGGTATCTTCAAACAGCCTTCCTCCTTGCTGCTTCCCTGGGGACTGACATCCTATCTCTCAGCTCAGGACTTTCATCCTGCTCCCCAGCTATGCTCATGAAGGAAAGTGGGTCCGGGCTGTGGATTCTAAAGCAATAGGAATGCTTTAGATGTCCCTCCTTTCCCCCTACCTCTTAACACCCCTGCACCCCCTCTTATCTCCTCCCCAAGAGAGACCTTTTTTATATATATACTAGAGGTCATTGCACGAAGAGATTCGTGCAATAGGCCTTCCCTTACCCTGGCTGCCGGCACCGTTTTTCCTCCGGCACCCGGGACCCAGGCCTTCACTCCGGCCACAGTAGAGAAGCCAAGCCTCTTCAGCCTTCAGTCTCTGCTCCGCCGGAGCCCTCAGTCTCCACTCCCCCGGAGCCTTCCAGAGCCCTCAGTCTCTGCTCCGCCGGAGCCCTCAGTCTCTGCTCCACCGGAGCCCTCAGTCTCCGCTCCGCCGGAGCCTTCCGGAGCCCTCAGTCTTCGCTCCACCCAGTCTTTGCTCTTCGCCTGCAAATTAACCACCATCTTTGTTGGGTTAATTTGTATACTCATCCGATCGGCTGGTGGGCATAGCGGAGTGACACCAATTTGCATGTTTCTTTTATTAGTGTAGACTAGAGGCCCAGTGCACAAAATTTGTGCACGGGTAAGTCTGCAACCCAGGCATGTGCCCTGATCAGGAATCGAACCCTGACCTCCTGATTTATAGGTCGATGCTCAACCACTGAGCCATGCCGGCTGGACAAGAGAGACATTTCTTGACCATTCCAGCTAAAATAGCTTCTCCATCTATTAGTTTATTTGGTTTCCCCAATGGGCATATGCAAATGGAGTAATTAATGAACTTAATGAAGGTGCTCTGCAGAAGTGAGAACAAACAGGATTAAGGGAAGGCAGCAAGGAGTGGTAAAGTAGGCCTGGTGGCAGCAGGAGGGGCATCAACCCACAGGCCATTTGGGCAGGAATCCAGTGAAAAGGAGCTGTGAAGAGTACCTGTCTTGTCCTAGGAAGGGTTGGGGACAAGCACCTCACTTCACTCTCCTGTCTTACCTGGTATGTGGCAAGATGGACAAGGAGGGGCAGAGGAAGACACTCAGCACATTTTTTGTTGCCTTTTTCTTTCTACCCCTTCAGCTAGGAGCTGGTTGTCTTATTCACCACAGTGTTCTGGACAACTTACAAAGGCCTGGCACAGGAAAGATATTCAACAAATACTTGTCAAGTGTTACTTTGGCCCAAACTAGTTGAGGTCAGCTTAAAAGCCTCATTCAAAACGTGTGACTTCTGGCCCTGGCCAGTGGCTCAGTTGGTTGGAGCATCATCCCTGTATACCAAAAGGTTTTGGGTTTGGTCCCTGGTAGAGGCATATACCTAAGTTGCGGGTTCAATACCCCATTGGGATGCATATGGGAGGCAACCGATCGAACAGTGTTTCTCTCTGTCTGTCTCTCTCTAAAAATAAGTAAACAGCCTGGTGGATGTGTCTCAGCGGTTGAGCATCCACCTATGAATCAGGAGGTCATTGTTCGATTCCTGGTCAGGGCACATGCCTGGATTATGGGTTCAATATCCAGTAGGGGGCATGCAGGACGCAGCTGGTCAATGATTCTCTCTCATCAATGATGTTTCTATCTCTCCCTCTCCCTTCCTCTCTGAAATCAATAAAAATATATTTTAAAAAATAAAAGAAAATTTTAAAAGGTGTGACATCTGGCTATCTGTCATCTCCCCCTGGAATATGATGTGCCACAGAGGATGGGATGTGCTCAACACTCTGTGTCACACTGGGCCGGGTGTTCCCTTCTCTCCCAGTGGGGCTTCTCCAGTCCTGGTGCCAGCCGCTGGCCCTCAGGAGCCCCTGGGGTGGTGGGGGCTGGGAGGAGACACAATTCAGAGCTGTGGGAAAGAAGCGCGGGGTTAATGGTTAAGCAACCCAGGTCCCATTACCCAGAACCCTGAAAATAAGTCAAGGGACAGTGGTCTTGAGGTGGGAGGAGGAAATCCGGAGGTTGAGTCACTCAGTGTGTTCTGTACAAACCCCCTTATGCAACCCATCCCCTGGGGTGAAAGGAAGGTGCAGGATTCTCCCAGGCATTCACAGAAACTGGCACCTCCCCCTTCCAAACTCAGGCGGCTCCAGTGGGTGAGGTTCAGATCTGTGGGCCCAAACCAGACCTGGGGCAGGGGATCCAGGGCACAGAGGTAGGAGAGATGGTGCTCGAGAGACACCGAGGCAAAGGCAGGAGAGGGATGAGTCCTGGGTGAGGCAGGCATGGTGCCCACGAATGCCCAAGATGTGGGAAGGCTCTGGCCCTGGGGATGTGGAGAAAGAGAGAACAGGGAGGATCCGGACCCCAGTGTTTCTGCGTCTCACCGAGTGTTTCCTTGGTGTCTGACGCAGGCTTTCTCAGCAGTGGCTTGCAAGTCATTGGTGGTCTAGGGGAGACTCTATTGTGTGTCTCTCTTCCTGTGTCTGTCAGGCACTCCTGATCACTTATGAATGCATTTAGTTGCCCTGCCATGTGCTGCATACCTCTGAGGGGAGGTGTGCGCTCAGAGTAGAGAGACAGGTGCCTGTGCTGAGACAGCAAAGGGACTGAGTGAGCTTTAGGACAATGTCTCTTATGCCCTCAACCGCGTTATCTATAAAATGTGGCTCACATTATCTTGCTTCTCTGAGGGCCAAGCCCACTGGATGATCTCTTGAGGTCTTTTCCAGCACCTCTTTTGATCTATAATTTTATGGAGCTAATTTTGGTTCTGTCTCTAACCAATTGTGTGATTCTAAGTCCCTTCCCCTCTCTGAGGCCTCAGTTTTCTTACCTGAAAAAATGAGTTTACATGAGATCTCTGAGGTCCTGTCAGTTCTAGCAAAATGGAATAATAACTATTCACACTGACCCTGGTCCAGGCCCTGTTTATCTATGAACATAACAGCACTATGCGGTGGGGGCTAGCCCTACTCCCATTTTGCAGATAAGGAAACTGCAGCACAGAGAGAAGTAGCTGGCTCGAGGTCACACAGCTAGTAAGCAGCAGAGGGAAATTCAAATGGAGGCTCTCAAGCACTGGACTACTGTGCGTCTTACATGAGAGTTCTGTGAAAAAGAAAACACTTTGAACTTGGGGTTTCACTGTCGTCCTCCTCATGATCCATTTTCTCTTATACAAACAGGCCTCAGGACCTTTCCCAACGGATTCATCCCCTAAGCACTCAGACGCTCATGCGTTAGGGCCCACGGGGATGAGGGACAAAGATGGGAGCGGGTGGGAGGGAGCCATGGGGACGTGTCAATTGAGTAGACCAGTGGTCGGCAAACTGCGGCTCGCCAGCCACATGCGGCTCTTTGGCTCCTTGGGTGTGGCTCTTCCACAAAACACCGACTTCTGCGCATGGGCCACGAAGTTTCAATCCGCACTGTACGTGCATGGCCCGCACGTGGTATTTTGTGGAAGAGCCACACTCAAGGGGCCAAAGAGCCGCATGTGGCTCGCGAGCCACAGTTTGCCGACCACTGGGGTAGACTGAAGCTGTGGATCTGGAGAGAAGGGATTGAGTCCTGGATCAAGAGCTAAGGGCCCGCAAGAATGGCAGAGTCATCTGGAATTTTTCCCTTGGTCACCTGGGGCAGGAGCTCCCAGGTGATACCTCAAGGGGACAGAGAGCAGGGCTTGGGTCAGCAGGGTCTGGGTGGTGCTAGGTCTTCCTCCAAGCCACAGAGCTCTGTTAGGACAGTAATCAGAGGCCGCTCTAGGTCCTGTGGGGTGGCAGGAGGGTGCCTTCAGTGTCCAGAGGACAGTGTGGGGGTGGGGGGGGGGAGAAGACAGAGTGACAGACACACTGTCTGTCCAGGTGGTGTTTTGGGGGAGAGCTGTGGGCAGCGTATCTGCTGAACGTTTGGAAATATTCCCAAATATTCACTTGGGCATGGAAGCAAGAGGTATGCAGAACTAGCCACATGCATTCCCAGGCGCTTGCTACAGTCCCGTTTGCTGTCTTTCCCCTGCATGGCCAAGGCACACACACACAAACACACACTCACACAGGCCCAGGCCCGGTTACAGCCCCAGTACCAAGTCAAGGTGCAATTTTATTCAGCTTCAGAATCATAATGCTGAGGCCCGCCCTCCTCCCTTGCCACCTGCTGCCATTTGTCCATGATGTATGTCTTAGGCTTGGCCTGTGAGGGGCTCTAGAACCCCAGCAGAGCAGGGGTCCCCAGGGTCAGGCTGGGGGGTAAGGTGCCCACAGTCTGCCAGCTGGACTCAGCTGCAACCCCCCACACCCTTGATGAGGTTGGCGGCCTCGGGGATCTGGCGGAAGAGGTTTCGAAGGGTGTCCAGCTCCTGGGTCAGCTGCTCCACGCGGCTGCGGAGGCGCTCGTTCTCTGCCATGTACTCCAGTACCTTCTGCTGCGTCTCCAGAATGCGCCTCTTGGCCTTGTCCCGACTCTTGCGCACGGCAATGTTGTTCCGCTCCCGCCGCAGCCGGTACTCCAGGCTGTCTTTGTTGACCGCCTTCTTGCCCTTGTGCGAGGGGCCAGCTGGAGAGGGAGCCTTTAGAAGGGGGCTGCAGGGGGCCGCGGCAGCAGTCATAGGGGCCTGGAGGGGAAGGCACAGAGGGACAAGGGGTGAGGGCTGGCCAGGAAGCAGAGTGAAGCAGAGTGGAGGCAGGGCAGGAATGCCGGCAGCCAGAGCACCCTTGGGCCTCAGAGAGACAAGGGATTCCAGAGCCAGCTCCTGGGTCCCAGTCAGAGCAGCCTTTGCCTGCCGGGTGCACAGGGTCCCTGCTCTGACTAAAATTCCTTTCCATGCTCCACACTCTCTGAGGACACTTTCCTTCAGTCTATATTGAGTCTCCAATTCTGTGATCAGCCGGCATTTCCTCTTCTAGAAGCAGGCGGCAGAGAAACAAGAGGTGGGCGGCAGAGAAGCTGGGGGGCCCGAGGTCAGGCGGGTCAGCTGGCCACAGGGACTGCAGCACAGGGGCTTCAAGGTGGGAGTGGATCCACAGAGAAGGAAGCGGGGTCGTGGTTGGGTGGTGGGTGCCGAGAGCTTTGGGGTGAGCCAATTTCACAAAGCAACACCAAACACAGACTCGCTGAGAATAAGCAGGAAGCTCAGAGTTCCCCCATCCACAGGGGCCTCTCTCCAGCCCCTGGAAGGCACGGAGGAGAACTGACCTGCTCTTACCTTGAGGACACGCAGGGGCTGGCTGGGCGCTGCTAGAGCTGGGGGCAGGTGCATGGCCGTCTGCCCACAGTGTGCCACTTGGTACTGCAGAGGATTGTAGCCGCTGCGGCTGGCCCCGCGGCTGCCCTCGGGGCCCCGAGGCTCCTCCTTCACAGCCACAGCCCTGGGGTCGTAGCTCCCTGGGCTGCTGTAGATGCCGGGTCCCAGCGCCTTCCTGTCGGGGCCGAAGGTATGCGGGGGGTAGGCGAAGGGCCGAGGGTCAGGTGGCAGGTAGTGGGGGAAAGAAGGGGTTCCGGGGCCCTTGAGGCCGCGGGCCTCCGGTGATGGCTTCACAGCGAAGAGGTCGGAGAGAAGCTGCTCCTCCCCAGACTCGATGTAGGCAGAGAGGTCGATGGAGGCCTCATGCTCACACATGTCCCCCAGCTCCCCAGGCCCCGCTCGGGCCCCTGAGAATTCGAGTGGCTGCTGGCCAGCCCGGGGCTCACACTCGTAGTAGGTCCCGTGGACATGGCCGGTCCGCCCCCTGGGTTCCCCGCCCCCGGGCCCTGCTCTTGGGGCACCTTGGGATGCTCGGTCTGCCCTTCCTCGACCTCCCCCTGCCCTAGATTTGCCCTAGATCTGCCCTCTCGGGCTCCTCTGTCACCCACTCCTGCCTGGCCTCTCTCCTCCCTCCTCTGTTTCCTTTTCCTTCCTCTGTAGTCAATGCAGCTTCTCTCTTCCCTTTTTTCCCCCTCTCTCCCTGGGGTGACTCAGGGAGGGGCAGGGCGCACCCCGAGGGAGGGATGCGGGCCTTAGAGAAAGGGGCCCTCAGCCTGTTTAGCGGTTGGGCACTCTTTGGTCAGGATCCAAGTCAGAGTTCTGAGCTGTCCAGGAGCTGGTGCTTCTGGGAACACCTCCCCTGTTCCCGTTGAGTCCAGGGCACGCCAGCGTCCTTGCTGAGGGCAGCACCTCCCTCTGAGTGTCCTCTTCCCTCCAACTTCCAAAAAGTTCTGTGCAGAATGAGGTGCCAAGTCAGAATGAACAGAGAACACCCTCTTCCAGTGCCGACCCCCAGCTTTGGCTGAGCTCCTCCCTCAACACACCTCTCGCTCAGTCCCCCAAAAGGCTGGGCTCCACCCACTCCCAGGGGCAGTCAGTTCCTTCTGTAGCCCCACCTCCCAGGGCATTCTCCTGGGTGCAGGCCAGGGGGCGTTTGAGGGGTTAGGAAACAGTGATAGGCTCTGGGACCGAGTCACACACGGGGCCTGCGCTGTGGCCCAGAGCCCGCTCATTTGCTCGGTTTTTGCACAAGGTCTGTGCAATAGCCCAAACCCTCATATGTTTCCAGCTGTGGCTAGCTTTAGCAGCCTGGCGCTGGCCCTGAGTGCCCCGGGCTGGCTGAGGCTCCTGATCAGGTCTTGGACCCTGTGCCCCAGGCACTGGCAGGTTGCTGCCCCCAGGATGGACTGTCACACTCTTCTGGTGGCTCCAGAGCCTCTTTTCCTGCTGCCCTGTGCTGCCAGAGCCTCAGGCTGGAGCTCTGCCCTGCTCTGGTCCTGGGGCTCTGCCCCATTCCCTGTGCCCTGGCTGCAGGGCTCAGGCACTCTCTACAGCTCGGTTTGCTGTCTTTCCTTCTGCATAGCCATTTTCTGACCTCGATGCACGACTCTTGGGTCCACTTCCTCTTGTGAGGCTTGAGAAGCCGTGTCTTTTGTCATCACCTCTTCCTGGGGCTCTGTTTCAGGGTCTTCAGGAGAAGCTCAGGGCTTGCTCTCTGTACTTTTGGTCTCATGGGAGGTCCCTTCTTCCTTCCCTTTTCTTTTTCTCTGGGAACTCCCCACTCCTTTCTGGCAGAGGCACCAGCTGTGTCCCTGTTTTCACCTGTCGAATTATATCTATAAAAGGGACTATATAGCTCAGTGAAAAGGAAGGACACACTGAAGTGTGTTACTGGCTCTTTTATCACCAGCAAATGCTGGGAGTGCCTTGTGGGGAGCTAGAAGGTTTTACTAGCCTAGGTCAGACACACCAAGGGCCAGGCCACAGTGGGGAAAATGCAGAAGCGATAGGCGTGTCATTCAACACTAAAATGAAGTATGCAAATAGAGCCGCCTAAAGGTCAGACAAGTTACCCCTCCAGTTAGTGTCCTCTTCCTCCCTCCCAACACCACAATACCCCAGGAGCTTTCCATGTAGGGTTTGAGGTGCTTTCTCTAAAAGCCCTGACCTGGCCCTAACCGGTTTGGCTCAGTGGATAGAGTGTCAGCCTGCAGACTGAAGGGTCCCAGGTTCGATCCTGGTCAAGGCCATGTGCCTTGGTTGCGGGTGCATCCCCAGTGGAGGGTCTGCAGGAAGCAGCTGATCGATGTTTCTAACTCTTTATTCCTCTCCCTTCCTCTTTGTAAAGAAATCAATAAAATATATTTAAAAAATATATTTATATATTAAAAAATAAAAAAATAAAAGCCCTGCCCTAGCTGGTTTGGCTCAATGGATAGAGTGTCGGTCTGCGGACTGAAGGGTCCCAGGTTCGATTCCAGCCAAGGGCACATGCCTGGGTTGCAGGCTTGATCCCCAGTAGGGGGCGTGCAGGAGGCAGCCAGTCAATGATTCTCTCTCATCATTGATATTTCTATCTCTCTCTCCCTCTCCCTTCCTCTCTAAAATCAATAAAATATAAGAAAAAAAAAATAAAAGCCCTGACCTGGCCCTAGCACAGGGGTGGGCAAACTTTTTGACTCCAGGGCCACAATGGGTTCTTAAACTGGACCGGAGGGCCGGAACAAAAGCATGGATGGAGTGTTTGTGTGAACTAATATAAATTCAAAGTAAACATCATTACATAAAAGGGTACGGTCTTTTTTTTTTAAAGTTTTATTCATTTCAAACGGGCCGTAGTTTGCCCACGGCTGCCCTAGCAGGTTTGGCTCAATGGATAGAGTGCCGGCCTGTGGACTGAAGGGTCCTGGGTTTGATTCTGGTCAAGGGCACATGCTAGGGTTGCAGGCTCAATCCCCAGTAGGGGGTGTGCAGGAGGCAGCCAATCAATGATTCCCTCTCATCATTGATGTTTTTATCTCTCTTTCCCTCTCCCTTTCTCTCTGAAATCAATAAAATATAAGAAAAAAAAAAAAAGCCCTGACCTGGCCCTAGCTGGTTTGGCTGAATGGATAGAGTGCCGGCCTGTGGACTGAAGGGTCCTGGGTTTGATTCAGGTCAAGGGCACATGCTAGGGTTGAATGCTCAATCCCCAGTAGGGGGTGTGCAGGAAGCAGCCAATCAATGATTCCCTCTCATCATTGATGTTTTTATCTCTCTCTCCCTCTCCCTTTCTCTCTGAAATCAATAAAAATATATTTTAAAAAATAAATTAGCCGAAACCGGTTTGGCTCAGTGGATAGAGCGTCGGCCTGCGGACTGAAAGGTCCCGGGTTCGATTCCGGTCAAGGGCATGTACGTTGGTTGCGGGCACATCCCCAGTAGGAGATGTGCAGGAGGAGCTGGTCGATGTTTCTCTCTCATCGATGTTTCTAACTCTCTATCCCTCTCCCTTTCTCTCTGTAAAAAATCAATAAAATATATTTTAAAAAAAATAAAAAATAAATTAATAAAAGCCCTGCCCTAACCGGTTTGGTTCAGTGGATAGAGCGTCGGCCTGCGGATTGAGAGATCCCAGGTTCGATTCCGGCCAAGGGCATGTACCTTGGTTGTGGGCACATCCCCAGTGGGGGGTGTGCAGGAGGCAGCTGATTGATGTTTCTCTCTCATCGATGTTTCCAACTCTCTATCCCTCTCCCTTCCTCTCTGTGAAAACTCAATAAAATATATTTAAAAATAAAAATAAAAATAAAAGCCCTGACCTGGCACGGGAAGATCTGTGTGCATCCCAGAGACAGATCTCAGGAACCAAATGGGGAGATTTGTTCCGCCTTCTCCCCGTTTCTCAAGACCCTGCGGCAAACAGGTACCACAGCTGAGCCAATTCAGTTTGGCGGCAGTGCCTCTGTGGACCATCAGGTGGCAATGTTGGCCCAAAATCTGGACTTGAGGGGCTGCTGTGGTCAGGAATCAGGTGGCCGACAGAGGGCAGTCTCCCACAGTTCTGACCCCGGGAGACAGCCGGGGGTCTGTGGGGAAGGAGGAAGAGGGAGCACAGCTGGGATGAAGACTTATGGTGCAGTTACTGGGAGAGTGGACAGGCTCATAGGGCCTTGTCTCAATGAGGAGAAATTCTATCCCTCCCCAACTTTGAAAATACTAGCGATGGCAGTGAAGGCCTGGCATTTTCTGGTGTTAATGCTTTTTCAGTCATTGAAACATACACTTTTTCATGCTGACAGTTTCCTTGTGAGTTCAGTAGGAAGGTAAGCAAGACAGAGTATATTTTTATTGTTGTCTTATAAACGAGGAAAACAAGCAGAGCTGCCCAAGGTCATTCAAGCATGCTGCGTTGATCTTGGGGGAAAGGGCAATGGGTTAGTTCTTGATATCCTCAGCAAGAAGGGACAGGGAAATGGGGGAACTGTGTGGCTCAGAGAGCCTTCTTTGGCTCAGTCAGCCACCTTGGGGGAGGGGGAGAGCATCAGCAGTGAGCGAACAGGCGCTGGAAGAAGCAGGGAGGTGTGCAAATAAAGCCGGCAGGAAATGAGAAAGTCGCACAGCTCTGGTGGGAAGATAAGTGATCTCAGGTCTCTCACCTTCCAGGCTGGTGGCTGACGTTGCTGGCTCACTGACATCAGTGTTTCCCAGTAACCGAGGGGTTTGGCCAGGCTAGAGCTGTTCTGGATGTTTGGGCAGGGGAGGAGTGGGTGCTGGGCTGGAAGGAGGGTGGAGAAGGCGGAGCCAATCCAGGGCTCGGGTAAACCTGGGTTCTGCATAATTGTTCAGAAGCCGAAAGAAACCCTCCCTGGTCAGCAGGATCATTTTCTCCTAGCTCCTGCAGTTGCTACCTGTTTGCATTAACTGAAGCAATGCATGTGTATTATCTTACTGACTCTAACCTGCCTCAGTTCAAAGGCCACCTCTTTTACCAAGTCTTTCGAATAGGGAGGCAGTTGAGCATGGCAGGGAAGTGTCAGAGATAACTGGACTCAAATCCTGCCTTTGTCACCAGCTCTGTGACCTTGGACAAGTTACTTAATCTTGTAAAATGGCAGTAATCATGCTTACTTGATCAGGTTGTTTAATTAAACTTTGAATAAGATAACGAAAGGAATGTTCAGTCTCTTTCTGCCCTTCCTTTGACCACCCATTGCAGTTTATCTGTGTCAGCTAAAGGGATACAGTCTGCAGCCTCATCTGATCCTTCAATTTTGACAAGCGCTTTTGAACACTTAGGTACCAGGCACTGCATGCATGGGCTCTGGGGGCCTGGCAGGATCAGCCCCTGCCTGCAGCAGCTGGAGTCCAGTCAGAGTGGACTGTCAGTGATGCTGTGAAGGGCACACACCTGTGCCATGTGTGTGCCTTTCTTTGTTTTTAATTACTTAATTTATTGATTTTAGAGAAGGGAGGGAGAGAGAAACATCAATTTGTTGTTCCACTTATTTATGCATTCATTGGTTGATTCTTTTAAAAATATGTTTCTATTGATTTTTAGAGAGAGGGAGAGAGAGAGAGAGAGAAACTTCAATCAATCAGCTGCCTCCTGCATGTCTCCCACTGGGGATAGGGCCCACAAGCCAGGCATGTGCCCTGACCAGGAAATGAACCATCGACCTTTTGGTGCATGGATGACATTCAGCCAACTGAGCCACACCACTCAACCAATTGAGCTACACCGGCTAGGTCATTGGTTGATTCTTGTATGTACCCTGGGGATCAAACCTGCAACCTTAGGGTATTGGGATGATGGTCTACCCAATTGGGCTACCTGGCCAGGGCTGCCATGTGTGTTCTTGCCTTCTCCTCCCCATAGACTATCTGCTCTTTGAGGGTAGGGTCAGATACATCTTTTGGACCTCTTCAGCTGTAATGACCATGTTGCTTGAATTAAAATTAAGAACAGGCCCTAGCTGGTTTGGCTCAGTGGATAGAGCG